TATATGTATATATATATGCATAATGGAATATTATTCAGCCATTTAAAAAAAAGGAAATTCTGCCATTTGCAATAACATGGATGGACCCTGAGGACATCATACTAAGTAAAATAAGTAAGTTAAATAAGTCAGACAGTGAAAGACAATTACTACATGATCTCACTTATATGTGGCATTTTAACAACAACAACAACAACGCATAGATACAGAAAATAGATTGGTGGTTGCCAGAGGCAAGGAGTGGGTGATGGATGAAATGGGTAATAATAGTCAAAAGGTACAAAATTCAATTATAAAATAAGTAAGTCCTGGGGATATAATACACCATAGTGACTATACTTAAAATACTGTATTGTGTATTTGAAACTTGCCAAGAGAGTAGATCTTAAATATTCCCATCACAAGAAAAAAAAATGTGTAATTGTGTGTGGTGACGGATGTTAACTAGACTTATTGTGGTGATCATATTGCAATACGTACAAATACTGAATCATGTTTTACACTTGAAACTAATATAATGCTACATGTCACTTATAGGCCAATAAAGAATCTTAAGGATAGTGTGATTGTATAGGGATATAAAACAGAGGAATCAAAAGGCCGGTAAGAAAAGAGAATCTCAGAAATGACATAGGAAACAGGCTAACGTTAAGCAGGTTAAAAGCAAGTTACAAGCAAGTAACAAAGAATCAGGAAAGATTTGTAAGATTTCAGGGAGAAAACAAAAGCTGGAAGCTAGATGTCAATGCCATGGAGGTAAGAACCAGCTGTTCCAAAAAGCCTATGGATTATTGGTGCAGAGGAAAGTACATTGCATTTAGTAAGAGGGGGTGTGGGTCGAAGGTCTAGCTCTGCCATTTATTACTTTCTGACCTTTGCTTTTTCACACATGAAACAAGGATAATATCTGCTCGCCTTCCTTCTCTCGGAATGTTGTGAAGCTCAAGACCAGACTGGAATAGTGTCCATGAAAATGCTTTGAAATTGGGAGCCCAATACAAATGTAGGTCAATATTATAATGACTTGACTTATAATATACCAGGTAAAGTCAAACTATGAACATGAGATACTCCCAAGAGCTGTTGAAAATCTTAAATTGGCACGACCAACCAATTTTACAGTAGCTACCAAATACACACTTGAATCCAAACTTTTAATCAGTTCTGAATGAATCAACTGACTACATTATTTCAGGAAAGCAAACAAAATAAGCATCAATAGTGATTATTACTAAAAATAGAAACATTTCCTTTGAATAATAAAAACTAAAAAATTATCATACCTTTAATTGTGGAGATGATGTGCTGAAACATTTTTGGATATTTTCAAATGATGCAGATTTTCTTAGGAAAAAAAACTGAAATAATCAAATGATAAATATGCATTGACTATAGATACTATTTGGTAAAGTAAAATATCATATGACAATTGACTGATAGCTTCTTAGGTAAATTAATGAAATGCTTAGGTAAATTTAATGAAATGCTAATTAAAATACACGTTCTTATTGGATGGATTTACTGAAAATCCATCAATTAATTTAGAAAACTGTATAATAATAGAAACTATCTTAAATTTTAAAATTCAACTTGATACAACAAACACTTAGCAAAGTGTTCTGGTTAGTGCAAGTGGCACATATGTATAAATGTGCCATAAATATCCTGACCCATGAGTCCCCTTAGCACAGAGGCTGCACAAGTGGGACCTGAAGCAGCTACTGTCCTCCGAACAGTCACCTCTAATTATAAGCAACCTCAACATTTTACTCCACCAGACCATACAAATACCATCACTTACGATGTGAGCTATTATACTGAAAGAGCTGGGAAATACTACTATACTAAATAGTGTAGAAAGTACAGAAAAAATTGATATGTTCCATATCCTCAACCAATATAATGGTGGAAACAGAAAGAAAAGAAGTAACTATAATCCAAAGCAGCTGTGGCACTGACTAAAGAGGGCACAAATGGACGCAGCGTGAAGAGAACATAGGGTAGGGAGAGGTCAGTTCTCAATGGGATGGCACCTGGATAGACTGGTTGGAAGAGGTGACACAGGGCGGGCCTGTGAAAGGTAGCAACATTTCCGTAGACTGAGACAGAGCTGAGAATATTCCAGGCCAATGGAACAGCCTAAACAAGCCCAGAGAAACGTCAAAATGCAGGGGGTTTTAGTCCCCAAGGACTTGGATGCAGGTGGAGTACAGGGTATGTGGGGGCGACACAAAAGCAGAAGTATAATGGGAGATAAGATAGAAAGTATAGTTGAGGCCAGGTTATGAAGCTCAATGAAGCACTTTGACTTTATTTGGTAGGTGGAGTTACAGTTTGAGAAATGAGTGACATAAGTATGCCTGTGTTTTAAGAATACAGCAGGAGGCAGTAGGAGGATGGGTTGGAAGAAGCAGCTACTAAAAATGGGAATATGTGACAGGTAGGTGTATGTAGTGCTACTACAATAGTCCAGAAAGTGTACATGGCATTCCAAACTAGAAAGGGACATTCATTGGTTCAGCTATTTTTTACGTGATGGCTACTACTCTAGGTGATATGGATAAAACTGTGATGAAGAATGCTGTGACCCCAGTCTGGTGAGGCATAAAAAGATCAAACACACATAAGGACAAATATTTAGTAAGTGCTATAAAGAAAAAAGAAAAAAAAGTGATCTGTATTAATTAGAAACATTATCCCCTCCAAAAAAAAAAAAAAAGGTATTAAACTGTATGGGGGATAAAGGAGGAGGCATAGACATATCTTTAACCTAGTTAACTAACTAGAATAGGATTTGATTTGTCCCACTGCCCTAAGACTTTGTACTATGTGCCATTCAGCATCCCAAGATACCATCAAGGGGAGCAGAGGCCTGAAGGCACTAATGGGAGAAAAATAAAACTGTTTTTTATTTGTCCCCCATAAAGTTCAGGACATCTATCAAACCAGTTATGTATACTTCCAACTTTTCTTCTTCTCTCAACTTCTCTCAATCACTATCTCTTTTCTCTCCAATTATGTTTATTATTTAATTAACTTACTTGGATACACTACAATGATAACAAAATCATGAGCCTGAGTCTAATCACTGTTTAGAGAATTTAGTTTTACTGTTTCATGGCCATAACCAATCCCCCCATTTGGCCCAAACATTCACAAACATGTTTCTTTAATCATTTAAGACCTAGGCAGGAAGTGATAAATGAGTGCAAGACCAGAAATTTTCAAAATTTTAGGAAAATCAGATATTCTGCTATTAATTAGTAAGTAACATCTTCTAAGTGTCACAAAGGCAACATATTTGAAAAAGAGGAAATGTGTCCTCAGCAAAGACACCAGAAGTGAATGTTCTGAGGCATTTCCCTGACTGAGGAAGCACCAAGAAATAATTTCCAGAACTACTAGAAATAATATATCTGAACTATAGGCAGATAAAGCAACCAACCCACAATTTAGAATAAAAATTGTACATACCCTAGTACTTCTGCTATGCTGATTTAAAATAATGACACTTTCCTTGGTTTCAGCTGAAAATCTCTCAGTTAAAATTTTGCTTGCTTGAATACTCTGTAATAAAAAGATAACAGTTTTAAATTATACTTTAAAAAGTTTATGATCACTGTTAGTTCATAGTACACATTATTACCCAAAGAAAAATGTATAGAAAAGGTAGAAGTATAGACAACATTTACCAGACACATCAAAAGCCCAGCTATAGCCTTAGTATTTGACCCAAACCCACAATTTGGCTTCCGTGTTGACCGTTAGCCAAATAGATACTTCTACCTAATTTCTGGCATCACTAATCTTACAAGCAATCAATGATACTGTGATCTCATAGTTAGCATTGAATCGATTTAGTATACAAATATCAGAATTATGTATAAGACTTATTTGGATTTATTGTCAATATAGGACTATTCACTGTCAAATACAGGTAAGCATTCTTAATTTTTATTGGACTGAAATTCTCTTTAAATGCCTTATAATTCAAACTCCATCAATTAAGTTATATATGTGTATTTATTGTTGTAAGGATGAACTGCTGCAATCATTACAATTATTATTAAATGTGTTATTCTTCTATCTTATAATCAGTGATTTGGATATAGAAAAACAACTAGAAGATCTAAGTTTGACATCTTGGTGTATTTATGATGAATTAAATCATGCTGCTACTTTGCTTAAATGTTTAGGTCTCAAACAACTAAAATTTCAAATTCAAAAAATATTTATTCAATAGAAAATTAGCTTTTTTTTTAAAGATTTTATTTATTTATTTGAGAGAGAGAGAATGAGAGACAGAGAGCATGGGAGGGAGGAGGGTCAGAGGGAGAAGCAGACTCCCCACTGAGCAGGGAGCCCGATGCGGGACTTGATCCCGGGACTCTAGGATCATGACCTGAGCCGAAGGCAGTCACTTAACCAACTGAGCCACCCAGGAGCCCTAGAAAATTAGCTTTTAAAAATACCATGAAATTATCACTGAGAATGGAACAGATATGGAAAAGGCTATGGGTAATTTAGGAATCACCAGCATTGATTTTTATTCATCTTCTATTGTATTTTTATAATGCAGCTATAGCATAGTGTAAGGTAAGAGAATTACTAAACATAGCAGAAGGATAATTGGTCACTGTTGCTCTTCAGAGATAAACTACGTGGTACACAAGAGACTATGGAACTATTTTGTCATATGTTTACACAAAATATTCAAATATGACGGAATAGCAGCTATTGTATATTTAAGGAAATGCTTTTAACAATAACAAGGACAAAAGCCTTAATACTGTATTTTACAGATATCAAAACAGCAAAACTTGCTAATTATCAATGGTAGCTTTTTTTTTCTTTTATTTTCTTTTTCCTTTTTTTTAGAGAGAGAGAGAGAGAGATGGGGAGGGGCAGAGAGAGAGGGAGAGAGAATCTCAAGCAGGCTTCATGCCCAGGGCAGAGCCCAACATGGGTCTCAATCTCACAACCCTGAGATCATGACCTGAGCTGAAATCAAGAGTCAAATGCTTAACCAACTGAGCCACCCAGGTGCCCCAATGGTTGCTTTTTAAAAAGAGAACATGGTTCATATGGAACCTTATCTTGGAAACTGCCAAGATAGTGACCAAACTAATGTGTCTTGAGAGAGCAACCATTGCTTATATGATATATGATGTAAAAATCCTCCTGCTCTACTCCAGAGATATTGCTAAAACTGGTATGCACCCAATAAAAGCTAGGATGCAGATAGAAATGGAACCAGTTTTGCTACTTTAAAAGTCAATTATGACTCTGCTTCTAATTATGGCAGGCTAGGTAATTCTACTAAGGAAAACTAAGAAAGCTACTTATAATACAAAAACTGCAATCTTCAAAGCATCAAAAAGCCAACATGATGATGAAGAGATACTGAGCCAAAATCTAAGAAAAGGCAAGAACCTGGAAAAGTAAGCCCAGTATTCAAGATGCTTTTGTTCTCATGATGTTTGCCAAAGCAGCTGCAAGTCTGAGCTGCAGACTGACAACTTCTTGGGGCAATGGTGATAGAAATTGAAGCCCAAAACTTACCCGTGGCATGGAGACTGATTTATTTATATATATTTACATATATGTAATATACTGTATAATATTATACATATACAAAATATGCAAGTATCCAAGGCTACAGGATGCTACACCATCAGATTAAGATGAATAGATGTAGGGGTGCCTGGCTGGCTTAGTCAGTAGACCATGTGACTCTTGATCTCAAGAGATCAAGTCCTGAGTTCAAGTCCCATGTTGGGTGTGGAGCCTGCTTTAAAAAAAAAATTTTTTTAAAACCTCTTAAAAAAAGAAAAAAAGAGTGAGGGGAAGTAAATCAGCCTTTGTGTAGACTTTCAGCCTCGGTTCCATCACAAGGGTGGTCAAAGAAACTCAAGCCTCAACCTTAGACTAAGACTGTTTCTGAGTACTAAAAAATTTGACAAAAAATTTCTCTGGAGAAAGAAACTGTCATTCTTGGTCTCAAAGGTTTCCTAAAAATAATGTTTTAAATACAATAATAAACATTTAAAGACAGACACATAAAGAAATAAAACACCAAAACAAAATAGATTTGGAGAAAAAAATAAATATTCTAAAAAGAAAAACACAAAAGCAAATTTAAAAATACAATAAACAAGTTTAACAGTATCTTAGACACAACTGAAGAAAGAATCTATAAACTTGAACTATAAGACAGATCAGAAGGGAAATTATCCAGAATCCATCATCAAGAGGAAAAAGGTAGCTAATACCTATGATTAAAGTCCCAGAAAATGAAAGAGAATGAACAGAGGCAACATTTGAAAAGATAAAGATTAAAAATTCTCCATAGTTGATGAAAGACATCAAGTCACATATTCAAAAATCCCAATAATTCCAAAGCATAAATTTTAAAGAAATCTGCAGCTAGCCACATCATAATGAAAATAGGGAAGAAAAGAGAAAAACTTAAAAGTAGCCAGTTTGGGAGGAAGCAAGGAATCTGTTATCCTCAAAATTTCACATTTAAGACTTACTTCCCAATAGCAACAGTGGATGCTAGAGAATAAAATATCTGCAATATACATCATACCCAGGTATAATCTCTCTCAAGAATGAGCTAATATAAAGACATTCGAAACAGAAAAACCAATATTTTCATTAATTGCAGACTTCCTACTTCCCTTAAAGCAAATTCTAAAGATATATTTCAGGCAAAGGGTAAAATGATTCCAGACAAAGTTCTGAGATGCTAGGGGAAAAAAAAAAAGAAAAGAAAAAGAGAGAGGGATAAATATATGGGTAAAATATAAGAAATATTGTATAAAATGTAATGTTTTGAGGGTTTTAAAAGATAAAGATCTAAGAATATAACAAAGTAAAAACATATTAAGGCAAAAGGGGTAAATGGAATTGAAAGGTTTTAAAGTCATTGTATTTTCCTGGAAGAGTATAAAGATACTGATTAACACAAGATTTTGATAAGTTGAAGATGTCTATCCAGGGAAACCACCATAAGAATAAGAAATAGCATATAATCCAAAATAGGGTTAATAAAACACAATTTATCAAAATAGTTGAAAAAGTAAAAATAAAACCTGAATATATATCTAGACTACTGAATTTTTTTAAAAAAAAAGGAACAACAAAAAAGATAAATTTAAGAAAAGGAATAAAAGAAGAAAATGAAACAAACAAAGGCAGAGTCAATAAAAACCATAAATTATATGTCAGGATAAAACAAAAAATATCAGTTATCACAATATATATAAACATTTTAAATTTACCTTTAAAACACAGGGCATACAGACCTTTGTATCTACATACTATTTCCCATTCTAAGGAACCTTTGAACAAAGGATTCTTTGAACAAAGGTCTGATTCCAGTTAGGATGCATGAAAAGTGTCCTGGGCCATCTCTTTATGCCAGAAGTCCTTTTGGATCCTTTTTATTCTAGTCATTGGGTATGAACAACCACCAGCACTGACTGACTTTTGGACCATCTTTCTAATGGGTTATTCTGTCATCACCAGTTGTAACCAGTCCTGGTTACAAACCAATCTGAGTCTTGCTACAGTTCTTACTTCTGTTCAGAAACTTCTTTCTACTTTCAATTCCCTATACTCACATTTTCTAAATACGAAGAGAGAAAAATACATGCCCCTACTTATAAACATAGAATTTGGAAAATATTGTACTCACTACAGTATATTGAGTAATATTACATATTACTCATATTACCCCCCAGCTGGGTCAATTCAGTTAGAAGCAGATGCTACCAGTGGAGGCGACAAAGAGAGGGAGCAGTAGGAAACCTTCAGACCATGATGCAGCTGACACCTGTGAAAGGCGAAGAGAGGAAGGAGCGAGCAGGAAGAGCTTCAGATCACAGAGCAGTTCTGAGATTCAGCCAGGCAGATGGAAAGTTTCTGAGCCAAAACTGCCTGTTGAAACAATCCCACATCAAGCAGGTATGGGTCACCTCTAGCAAACCTGTTGTGTTCAGTCACTGGCTAGAAGCAGCCCAGAGGAAAAATGGCCTTAGAGCAAATGCCATGATAGATCTACAGGACAACAGCTGGAGGCTGGCAGTCAAGATTATGTCAACAGATTCTCTTGAAGGAGATATGAGCATCACATTTTCATGGATGCCATGCCTACTTATGCAAATTAATATTCACCAATCTTACACTAAGGCAATCTTTAATATACTTTATGTTATGAACCTTTTTCTTTTAGCTCGTTACATATTTCTCCCCCAAAAAATATTATCTTCTTAAATAAATGAAAAGTTTAGATTACACTTAAGAAAAGGAAATGCAAATATACACAACAATCTTTCAAGATTTAAATTACACATATACTTTCATCAGGAATTCCAAATAGAAAAATACACGTCTGTATACAAAGATATATGTGCAAGTGTGGTTTGTGAGAAGGTTTGTCTTTGTTTTGTTTTTGTTTTTTATGATGCAGCCTCAGCTGAGATCCTAACTAAAACCACATGAGAGATCTTGAGCCAGAACCTCCTAGTTAGGCCAGAAACTGTGGATTCCAGATCCTCAGAAACTGTGTGAGATAATAATAGTTTGTTTTAAACTGCTAAATTTGGGGATAATTTGATCTGCAGCAATAAATATAATATACCCTTCTAAACTGGGTTAGTGACTTTTAGCACCAGGAAGAGGTAAGGAAAAGGGTAACAGAACAAATGGAGAGAAGGGGACTTTTTTTGATTGGGGACATAATTAGTACCTCTCTGGGTTCATAGGAGGGTCAAATGAAATAATACAAGTGAAGTGCCTGGCACAGTGTCTGGCTCATAGTAAATATTCAATAAATGAGAATCAACAGAAGTATGTTTTAAGCAAAAAACTCAAGATGCAGAATAATATAGATTACATGATTCCACACATGTAGAAATATTAATTTGCATACACTTGCATTACATAAATGAAAAAAATGTCCGAAAGGATACATACAATACATTTAATATTAGTAAACTTCAGAGAGAAGAGAACTGGGAAAGGATAGCATTCAAGATGGGTAGTGCTCTTTATGCCATACACGGCTGTATCATTTGAATTTTTTCTACACTAAAGTATTCATATACTACTCATGCAAGTTCTTAAGTAATTTATTAGGCCTTGTTACTCAGAACAGCAAAAACAATAATATTGCTAAAGAAAATAATGGTGGTTTAACAAAAGACAGAATAGAAAGAAAATTTTTAAAAGATAGAAAGCACAAAATAATAATAATAATAATAATACCAATAAATGATATGCTACTTAGATGGTTCATCTGAAACGAAACAAAAACAAAGAAAAACAACAAAGGATTAAAATGAAAATATTCCTGAACACAGACAGAAAAGAACAGAGGGCAGGCCATATTACAGTAGAATTCCAGCATTAAAAAAGCCAAAGTAGGTCACTTAAAATTGATAAGAAAAAGAATTCATAATAAAGGTAAAACTCTGCTAAATTCATAATAAAGATAAAACAGCTTCTAATCACCTAAAGTAAAAACTACTGGTACCACGTGGAGAAATAAGTAAAACACAACCGCTGAAAAATCCCCAACAGTGTTTTTTATTTTTTATTCTTATTTTTTTAAGTTTATTTATTTATTTTAATAATCTCTACATCCAACATGGAGCTTGAACCCACAACCCAGAGATCAAGAGTCACATGTTCTTCCAACTGAGCCAGCCAGGCATCTCCCCCCAACACACACACACAGTGTTTTATAGATCAAATGAAAGAAATATGCCACAGAAGAATGGAATTATATGACAATATAACAGCTATATCTATTCTTAATTGAGCACTTATTATTCATTAGGCCATACGCTATATAGTCTCTCACTAAATTCTCAGAACACCTATTTTACATAAAAAAAAAAAAAAACTGAGGCTTCAAGAAACTAAGATACTAGTAAAGATTATCCAGAAAGTAAGTGGGATTCAAATCCAAGATGGATTGGAAAGCCTATGCTCTGCTTAGTGCTGCCACAATGTAAAAATGGTTACAACTTATAATACCATTGAATTAATAGACAATATTGGAACATATAGAAAACTGGAAAGCAAATACCAATAGTACTTGGATGGGAAACTGGTATTCTAAAGAATATATTTTCTTATGTTAATAAGGATAAAGAATAAAATTAAAACAAAATAATGCCAAGTCAAAACAGTGTTTAAAAACTTGAAGGACCTCCGGGCGCCTGGGTGGCTCAGTTGGTTAAGCGACTGCCTTCGGCTCAGGTCATGATCCTGGAGTCCCCGGATCGAGTCCCGCATCGGGCTCCCTGCTCGGCAGGGAGTCTGCTTCTCCCTCTGACCCTCCTCCC